GAGAGTGGTCCGGCAATGACTTCAGCCAGCTAAGATATAGGTAAGTAAAGACTTCTAAGTCTGAACATCTCTGTATCAGGCAAATCAACAGAAACTATGTCAGAGAACACAATTAACATACACAGAGAATAATAAAAAAAACAACTTTCCAAGCACTTCACCAGTGACTTTTCAAGTATTTCTGAGCACAACTTTTGCAGTATTTATCTAATTGGCTAACATTCCAATTCTATTGAAATTAAAACGTTCTCATGTAAATTAGCAGAAGGAACTTAATTTCCTTTTCTTACTTTCAGTACTTCCCATTGTTTTTTTCTCTTGACCAAAAGCACCACTTACCACTTGTATCACTTCACAGGGACACTTTTTGATTATAACATAGTAAACTAAAAGCCACCTTTTAACTGCCTGCATGCAATGCTGTACAATTGCACACAGTTTAAAATAAATTAAAAAAACAAACACTGAATTACTACTGTCCTAAATTGGACATTGTCATAGTTGCATGTTATGAAAAGTAACACTTGTAGACAACATGACCAATTCAGACCTCCAATATATTTTTCTGATAGACAAGCCACATTTAATACTTAAAGCAACACCATGCATGTACACAGATGAGTTTTGCAACAACGGGATGCAACCTACCTTTCTCCATTTTCTCACACCCTCAACCTATAGATAAGTTTTCTCATAGCACAGTTTTAATCTCTGAAAGCAACTTCACCTCAGTTAAAAAGAAATGCAATCTAAGACTGGTTTGGTACCCAAAAAACCTGCACACTCTTGAAACTAAACGTACTGTATTACAATTTCTGTAGATATTCTTCACTCAAAGAACTTGGAATGGGCTTCCTTGAATGAAAATCAAACTTTTCAGAGTTTTATTATTTACATAGCTACTTGTGCTAAAAGCATTTATAAATGAGAAGTTACAAAGAATGCGTCAGCATAAAGTGACAGTGACTGGAAAACTGATGAAGGGAAAGGTAATGCAGATACTGAAGCACTAGGAATTTCTGTCTAAAAGGAAGCTGAACACACGTGGTAACTCAGAAATTGCTTAGTCTTTTTCATTAATTTATCAGAGATGGAATACGTGTCACCTTACAGCTTAAGAAGCTAACAAATATTCATCTTTAGCCTTTGTAAAAGCAAAAAGAGACTGGCAAATATTTAACATACTGCTTGCATTAACCAAAGAGATGACAGAATGCTATGTACAAAGAGATGCATAAAAACACAACCAACTAATAAAAGTGACAATTCATTGATTTTTTTGTTTCCTTTCAGTGCTACAGTTTCACAGTATTTCGCAAAGTTTTTATTTTTTAAGCGTGTGAATCTAATATTCGTTGCATCTCTGCTTGCAAGGTTATTGATTTCAGCAAGTTGTTAAATTTTCTAATTTCATTCCTTTCAAATAGCTTTAACCCTTCAACTGTAAAATTGGAAACGTTTTCATTATGTTATGTTTGCTGTCAGATTGCCTAATATCATGTGATCATGAAGCAAAACATGATTCTGGAAATGTTAAGGCTGTTTGGGGCACTTCAATCTAATCAATGCATTAATTGTTGCCATATTAAATTCACAGCTTTGCCACTTTAATTTGTTAAAGAAAGTAATAAATAAAAAAGCAACAGAGAAATATTGTATTAGAAATATAAGTACATATTTGGAGAAGACATGAAACATTAAGGATAAAATAAGTGAAATACGGTGTTGCTTTTGTGTTTCATTCTGCTATTTTCCTAATCAGTTACTGAGTAGACATAATTTGATTTCATAGATATTTCTGGGATAAATTCTGTACTTTCAGTTTCTAACGATGTTTCAATTACAGTCAATTAAGTAAAAGGAATACAGCAGTGGTTACTTAGTTATTAATTAATTAAATGCTCAACAAAATAATTATTTCCTCCAGGTCAACTGGCTTACACTGTATTATGTTTCTAGAAAAAGCAAATTACAAAGTCAAGGCCACAGCTGAAAAAAATCTTGCCACTGCATATGTAATAATCAGTCTGGAAATATTAATACTAAACTGCTTGCAGTGAATCTTACTATCCAGCAAGAGGATACCAGATTAGAGGTAACATAGGGAATGTCGTGCATGTGATTTATCACTATGAATGAACTAAACTCAGTTTTTGTTGTGTTTATGAATTCTACTTATTATTCAAGTTCCATAAAAATCGTATTTTATTTATTTACTAGAGATAACTCTCAATAAACAACCTGAAAACTGTACAGCAAAATCATTTGACCGTATAGTAAGTGCTAAATATTACTAATGAAGCCCCAGCAAGGCAGGCTGGCACAAGAGGAGAAGGGAAAGGGGAAAAAAAAAAAAAAAAGAACTCTAGTTTACATGCATGCCATCAGGTAGATAACAAATACAATGCTACACATGGCACTAATAAGAGCAGTCATTCCTACAGGATTAGGAAAACTAATTCACAACTATTCAAACAAGCTGAGCTCAAGTTTTCCTCAAATGTTTAAATGTTCAAGAAGAAAAAAAAAGTATTGATTGGGAAGAACAAAAAGTGCCCAAAGATTGTTTATCAAGTGTTAATGGAAGAAAAATAACTTCAAATAAACTATTCGATTTGTATTTCCTAAATCTCAAGGATGGCTATAATTATATGAAGGAAATTTAATGATCGAAATAAACTGTGCAAGATCCATAAAAAAGAAAATTTAAAAGGACACACACAAACACATCACTGATAAGTGTTTTTCTAGGCAACAGAAGAGATTTTTTCCTAGCAGCTTCACACGTCATGTCCTGACTGATGTCAGGTTAGGATCAGAATATGCTGCAGTTCAAACAGACATGAACTATCATGTCTGTACAACATGCTAAGTCTTTATGTGCAGCTCTAAGAATCCAAATCATTAAGAATCCTGAAGCTCTCTTTCTCACTATTAACATATTGATGCTGTAGACGTTATGCCCACTATAACCATGCTATATACTAGAGAGGAATCAAACAATTTACTTGTGGAGCAAGCAGAGGCAGTCTAATGTAAGCCAAGAGCTTACTGAGATCTTTCCTTCTCTGTTCCAAATCATGTCGAACCCACGTAAGTAGTGCATTCAGTATAGTTTCCTCATTGGGAATATTCATGTCGTCACTTGCTAATAGTTTTGCAATTTCAGCGGCTGGCAATAATAGAAATTCCTGGTTTCTAATTACTTCCATGAAGTTCTCCTGAAAAAGAAAAAGAAAAGGATTTTTAATACAGGTGACACCATACTCGGAAGACTTTTTTTCATGGAACTCCTGCTTTCCCTCTTTTCCCTCCCTTCACACCATCTCTCAGTTGTGCCAGTAAATACCACTAGATAACTGACCTGGGGGGGGGGAGGTAAAATAAAAACGTACTGAGTTATTTTGACCCCTGATCATTTCCCAAACTATATCATTCAGTCCCAGAGACTGATGTGCTGAAACAACTGAGCGGGAAGGGCAGGGACAGAAACAACCAATGGGTTGTGGGGGTTACTAGCTTAGCACTGCAAACTCAAAACCTACTTTCTGAAGTATAGTTTAAAAAAATAATATAATAAGGTGCTGTTTGTTCCTGTTGACAATGTAGAATACAATGTAAGATGTATTAATCAACCAAAGAGCACAGCATGCTACAGCTACTGGGCACATCTGTAGTTGTTTTTATTGCTGCTAGATTAGATTATGGCATTAAGTTTTCAGAGGAAATAAACAACACTAACAATTTTATTGTTGATTTTAAAATGCTTATTTTAAGTTTATTTTACTACTTTGTAGGATTTATACAGCTGATCTGATTGACCAGGGAGCAAAACACACAAAGAATCCACAATATTGTACATGGCTTTATTAACAATATTTACTTTGAAAGGATTCAGTTTTCTAACTTTCATTTTGTCATTTCCAGAAACAAATCCTTACTTTAAAATAGAAAATTCACAGTATGTAGCATTTCTGACATTCATATCCTATTAATTAATAATACTAGGACTTACAGAATATCCTGTAAGGATTCTCATGAACTTTGGCAGCAATAGCAGAGAAGTATGAAACAAGCAGAAACAAGCAGAATTAACTTACAGTGAGAAATGGGAATGTAGCAGAAAAGAGTGAGATCATGTCTACCCTCTTTCCCCATCCACCTTTACAAGGCAGCAAAGGAAAGAAAAGTAAAAGCAGTCTATGAATCACATGTTCTTATATTTTGGTAGCTCAAAAGCCAGTTAACCTTGTACTCCAAAGTGAGAGTAACTTCATGACAATAAAACAGTATTACAATGAATTTAGTAAATGCACTGCTGATTGCTAGATCAGCCAACAGGATGCTGCTTTTGCTCTGCCACCACATGTACCTCCAAAACACCTGGAGGATAAAGTGCATTAGATCTACAGACAGGGAGGTCTAACTGGGACTAATATCAGAATTAGCCTTACTTAATATCTTGTTTAATGATTTAAAAAGAAAGAATTGCACACTACTGAAAAAACTCTGGATTAGAAGCACATACATATTGGAAAAAATAGGATTTTTAGATTAAAAAAAGGGAGAAACTTGGGAGCAGAAGCAGGACCTGCACTACAAAAGAGATACGCACTTAGCACATAAAATGGCAAAGACCTACAGTATAGTTTGTCATTGCATAGGCAACGGACATCAGGACAACAAAGTGAAAAAGGTAACACTTCATCCTTTTTATTGCTTAGTCTAATAATTTCAAAGCTATATCTCAATACTCCAAAAATAACAAGTCATTAAAGAATGCTGAACGAAGAGGAAAAGAACAATAAGGAGTAAACCAGTCCATCTCAGATGAAGGCCACACATACATAAGATGGCTACAAGAAGTCTAAGTGGAAAGATCAAAGTGACTCCACTCCACAGGTAACTCTAGAGTTGAAATTAGGAAAAGAATTGGAAGTGTTATCTCTGCACATGATAACTGTATTCCTGAATGGAATTTGGAAAGGAAAATTTTATATTTGGTATCTGAAAAGCTTTCCTACTAGAAAGATTCAATTGGCTACACAAAAGTAGTGCTTCCAAGTGAAAACTGTAGTACATTAAAGAGAAATATCTTTTCCTCTTTAATTCACTTAAAACACTCTATTATAAAATGAAAGTTAAAAAAATAAGCAAGTATAGGACTTAAAAACAGTGAAGGGACCGTACCAATACTCAGTAGCATTATACATGCACTTTCATTTATTTTACTCTGATATCAAATGCTTGGGAGTAAAACTGAAGCTGAAAACCAATCAAAATTACTTCCAGAGTTTAAACATGCAGTTCACGGAAATTCAGATTCCATGGAGTTCACTGGTTCCAGTGCTGGTTTTTTGTTGATTCTCTGTCCTAGAGCACAGCTGGAGCTGTGCTTTTAGTTTTGCTGAATAAACAGGCAGCAAGCACTGACGAAGAGAAAAGCCAACACTTACTACCTTAAACTTTCCATATTGTCTATCTGGATCACAGGAAGAGGAAGGGGAAAGCACCAGCATGGAAAGTTTCCTTTGTCTCTGAAGGCAACGACAAGCTGATCTTGCATCGGTCAGTCAGGGATCTTCTTTGGAAAGCTTTTTTCCAACTGGATTTCATCACTTCAACAGCTGTTGCATGTAAAAAGCCTGATTTTTCCTTCTTGTTGCTTGCAGACAATTGCTTTCTGATGAGAACAAGTTCAACTTCCTCTTGCTCCCATTCTATTTTTAAAGCAGAGACTCCTTTTGAGCATAGTATCAAAGCATTCCACTGGAAACACAGCCGCGCTTTGATCTATGTCTGGGATTTTTTATAATCAGAATCTAACAATTCCTCTCCCTCTACAGAGATTCTGAAGACAAAAAGAAGGAGCCAGTGTATCGCCTAGCATTCTTAACCTCCTCATTAGCCTTTTCTTTCATTCTTCTTATAGGAACTCTCTGTGGAAGAACAGGATATTTCAGAGAACAAACGGTCTGCAGTTTCAGTCCCTTGCTTTATGGTCCTGAAAGCAAAACAAAACTAAAAAAAAAAGGTTCCCCACCCCCAAAATTAGCTCGTTAAAGAGCTTGGAAACTTTGTCAAATGAGTAGCCTGAGGTATACGTATTAGCTGAAACAGGGACACACAGCCCCCTATTGCTCATTCACATGCACCCTTCACCAACTGCAGAGTCAGTAATATTGATACTCTTAACCACAGGTCTGCCTTGTACTTGATGCAGAGCAAAAAAATACTAAGAGCACATAGAAGACAAGACATCATGATGTTTATTTCTAAGTGGTACTTCATCCCCCCCATGGGATCCAGTGAGATGGTTAGTCTTCCTCTATACTGTGTCACAGAATCACAGAATGGTGTGGGTTCGAAGGGATCTCTGAAAATCATCCAGTCCAACCCCCCTGCTAAAGGAGGATCAGCTACAAAAGATCACACAGGAACGCGGCCAGATGGGCTTTGAATGTCTCCAGAGAAGGAGACTCCAAGCCTCTCTGGGCAGCCTGTTCCAGTGCTCTGTCATCTTCACAGTAAAGAAGTTCTTCCTTATGTTTAAGTTGAACCTCCTGTGTTCCAGTTTGTGATCACTGCCCCTTGTTCTGTCACTGGGCACAACAGAGAAGAGTCTGGTCCCATCCTCCTGACACCCACTCTTTAGATATTTATAAGCATTAATGAGAACCTCCCTCAGTCTTCTCTTCTCCAGGCTAAACAGACCCAGCTCTCTCAGCCTTTCCTCATATGGGAGATACTCCAGCCCCCTCATCATCTTAGTGGCTCTGCACTGGACCCTCTCCAGTAGCTCCTTGTCCTCTGTCAGCAGGGTTAGAACCAGAGAGCATGAGAACACCTGCAGGCTGAGGTGGCCCAATGGTGGCATTGAGGTGGTCCAACAGAGAGCTCTAACCACAGGGCTCTCTTTAAACTCTGAAGCTGGGCAGTTGAAAAGAAAGAGGTGCTTGACTCACAGGATCTGAATGAGAACAAACAGGGAAGGTCATTTTGTCTACTGGCTGCCTCCGTCAGCTGGTCAACTGAGGCATGAATTCGCTAAAAACTGAGCTACCTGACCCCTTGGCAAACTATTAATAGTCAGATGGACGTCAGATAGCAGCTACTTTACTTTTAGGCAGCTTTGACTGCTGCATTAAGCAATAAGCCAACCTAATGCTTTCGGTGTGCCCAGGGTTTGTTCAGAGTACAACTGCTGTAGCTTGACTCCTCTCTGTGTGGTTTCTGGATTCCAGCACAGGCTGGGCAGCATGCAGAAACATACTTAGTCTTGCCAAGCCAGTACCAGCCTATTGTGCTAGGCAGAACTTAAGGAACTTGAAAAACAGAAATATCTTGGGTTTTCAAAGGTGAAAAGAAGCGAATGAGTATTTTCAAAGTCAGATGATTACCAAGCAGGATATTTTGGGCTGTAATTTCAGGTGCAAGAATGTAAAATCCTTGTTTTAGGCACTAACACAATCTTTGGGTCTGGCCCTTTGTAGACCAAAAAATACTGATAATTCTTCCCTTTCCATGCCCCACCCCCCAAATAACAAACTGTCCTGGTTGTTGCAAAAAAAAAAACAAAAACAAACAAAAAAAAAACCCCACAACAAATTATACCTCTTTGCTTCCTCCTCCCAAATCATAAGCTCTATATAGCAGTATTTTTATTTTTTTTACCCAAATCCTGCCTTAAAAGAGAAAGCAAGTTTAAATGTCCCACATCTATTCTTTTGCTGAATTCCTAGCTTCTATGCTTGGCCTCAATCTGCTACTTCATCCTCTTCAAGTTTTTCCTCTTATACTCAGACCGTGGCTGTGCTCAGTAATCATGCAAACTCCAAAATTAACTTTATCTGAATCTTGTAACATTTGATCACTGCTCATACACTTCTGAAGACTTCTGATGAAAATCAGCGTGACTTTTCACTTTGATTTAAGGGTGGACGGCAGGGCAACAAATGTTACAAACCTATCCACACGGGGACTGACTCAGGTATAATGTTTAGAATGCCAGCTTTTTGTTTTTCTGTAATTAAGAAAGTGAAGAAGCTAACATTTATCTAAGAACACCTCACAACTCATCACAGATATTTTATGCTCTGGAAGTAAACACAGACTAGATTTTCCTCAACTTCCCTTTGGTTTACTTTTTTGTGCAACAAGCGCTATTGGTTTTAATTCAAGGTACACTATCAACTGCTTCACACAAACAAACAAGATGACAAAAGAGGGGTTTATTTTGACTTTGTGAAGACAGCAAGAAAAATGCACAGAAGGTACTTTTTGTGTGAAAAGGCTTTACAAATTATAGTCAACACATATGCTACTGGCCAGCCTAATAAAATTCCTAAATTTATAACTGTATGACCCTAATACTACATATAAACTACAGCAAAACACCTTCGTACAAAAGATACCTTTACCCAGATGCATCTTATGATTGTCAACTGTATTTTAAATCCCTGATGCAGTGTTGCTCTTAATACAGCGTTAAATCCACAACTGATCACTTCAGTTTATTTCATGTTTCACTTAATGTACCCTGAGGATTTTTCAAGCTTTAGTTTGCAGTGTGAAAAAATTTATCTGTTTTGATTATAACCTTAAAAATTATTCCCCTCAGAAAAAACAACTTACCAATTGTCAACATAGTAAGCAATAAAGTCATGCTGCACTTAAGTCCTTTTAGCATAACATACATATACATCTTTAATATGAAGTGCAGCATTCAAATCCTTCCTACTATTTTTTTTAATCACACTGTATTATGCGATTAAAATAATGCTAATGCTTTCCAATGACACTAATGAACATTATTCAGACAGAGCAGATCTATTAACAGAGCTAGGCCTGCTGGGATAACTCAACAATTTGTCCTTCAGCTTAACCAAATGCTCATTTCATCTGAATTTCTAGTCTTCATGTTAAAGAACTATTTTAATGAAGCAGGTAAGATGTTTATCAAAGTATAGCATGTGTCAAAAGCCCTTAAAACTGAGAAGTTGTTTTAATTGCAGGAAAACAGTTATATGGGAATCTGATTTTTTTTTCTGTCAAAGGAAAACTCACAGAAAATAACATCTACAAATTAAAATTTAAGTATTTTAAGTTATTAATTACCTTCTACTTCAAGTGCTTTAAAAGAACCAAAATTACTTGGAAAACTAGAAGTATATACTATATTCAGCATAATCTCCCACTGCTCTATGCTGCCCACTGCAGCATAAAAATAATTCATTGTTTTAACAAACAGAATTTGCAGGTACTATGGGTACGCTTAACCCTTATGCTCTAATACTTCTTAATGGAAAGCATCAAGTGGCTAGCACTTACTACTGTTGAACATTTTCTTCTTTCAAACAGCTTTTAAACAAATGAAATTACTTGGGGATTTATTTTAATTGAAGATTCAATTGGACATTTCTATGCAGTTTCCATAGCAACATTCATTTCAAACTAAAGAAGCTGCTTCTCTATTACTCATTATTACTAAAATTCAATTTCATGTCTCCGTTGGAACTAAACAACATTAAAAGAGGCCTTGGGAAGAATCCATCTAGCACAACTAATTAGTTTTGAAAATGGCTTTTTAAAATCCACCTAATTTAAATTTCATCCACGTCAAAGCCTTAAAAGCAACAATTTTGCCACTGAAGTAAACAATGGCCAAAAGGCATATGACTATTTTTCTGCAGTCTGAACAGAAGAGAGATAGGTGCTGTAAAAGAACGGCTTTCAGAGAGTTCACAGCCCCTTTCCACCACAAAAAGTCATGAATAAATCATGTCAGTCAAAATAGTAAGACTATAATCCCTAACATTCATCTTTAAAGATGCATTAGTCTAACATTTATTATCATTCTGATCTTGGCAGTCCACTTAAAAGGGACATGAAATAGTGCAGACCAGAACATACACTCATTCTGAAAAAGAACAAATAGGTCATAGGAGAGAGGTGCTCTTTTTGCACACTTTTCGTATCACTATCTTGCTCAACATTAATTCTAATATTCCGCAAAGGCATAAAACACGTCTGCCTAATTGCAGTCTCTTTATTTGTGTTTGAGCAATAATGAAGCTCAAGAATAGAAATGTTCAAGTTACAATGTGCCTGTGTATTTATTGGCCTGCTTTGGTAAACTTCAATGTGCACATGATTCTAAATGCAAAAGAGATCCACTCACTGAGGAAGAACATTGTATCATACAAAAAAAGAAAAAGCTATATTAAACTGTTATACATACTTAACCAAAGTTATTTTAAGCCAAGAGGAAATAATTTGAAAAAAATAAGACCTAAAGCAGCAAGAGGAAAAGTAATGGATTTCTAATAGTAATAACAAGACAGAAATCACACCTCATGGATCTAATCCAATAGCTTTACGGCAATGCAGTGCCATGGCTACACAAGCAAATTAAGTGCTATCTTCATTCCCACATCTCTTACGCAGTATCTGCATGCCCTCATTTAGGTCTCAAGAGCTTACATAGGCAAAATTTCATCAAGAAGAGAGAAAAATGCTTCACAAAACTGCAAAGAACAGATGAACTGACTTGCATCAGAGATAATTCTCCTGCCTGCTGCTGCTAACATTACTAAAATATGCTTGTGAGAAAGAAAACAAAGAACATCTTACATTAAAATAAAAGCATGACTATTAAGAAGATGATGTTTAATTAAGTTGGCAGGCCAGTCTTTCTATACAGTAACTCTGAAAAGATCATTGGCAAATTCGTATTTAGCCACACATTGCCTAGCCTAAGATCAAGTTGTTTGAGGCCATCCTGACATCCTATTGCTAAGAAATTAAAGATAATGCAAAATCTATATTGATGAATGCCCACATTCATACCCCAGGTATAACTTAGAACATGATTACTCTAACTCATTACAAAGCAAGAATTCTACAGTTTCATCTAGTAATGTGTTCTTTTGGACTAGATTATGGCAGCTTGTCTACTATTAGGTTTGTAGTTTTTGACTGATGGAAATAAGATCAAGCTTTTGAATGATTTTACTGAATGCACACCACACAATCCCTTTACTGTTACAGGGAACCATTAATGCTTGCCTATCTCCTTCCAACTCTAAACCAGCAACTTTATAGTTATTTTGTGACTTCTCATCATGGGTGCATTCTTGCTTGGAAAACGATCAAGGTTTTCTGGGGGAAAAATATTAGTATTTCATTCAGGCAAACATTCTGTATTTTCCTTACTAAATAAAGCGGATGAGACTTAAAAAACCAACATACCATAGTGTAATTGTGAGCCACCTTGTGCAAGTCAGTGCAACCCTGCGCATCAGCAAAAGATCGGATTCCAAGGCAATTGGACGGGTGAAGCTGCTTCATTAGGAACTTACAGCATGCTTCTACAACCTGAGAGAGCTGAAGAAGGCAAGCTGTAGACAACAGGCACTCAATGTTATCTTCTTTTAATTCAAGGCGACCTAGGAACATGAAAAAGTAGATCACAATTTTGCTTTTATCTTTTGTTAAACTCCCTAAAATTCAGAGGCAACAGCATTATTTACAGATTATATGACAGAATATAAGGTTTAGCAAACATTATCCCCAGCAACAGATAATGAGCTTTTCTAAATTAGTACCTATAATGATGCAAGGAACGGGAATCCTAATAAGATTCCTTTTTGTCAGTCATGATATATTGAAAATATTAACATAATTTAACTACAGAATATAGCATTATCAGAAAAACCATATCCCACTAGTTCGCCTCAGGTAACAGCAATAATGATTTCTTTTTATTTATTCATAAGGAATTAAATAATGTGAATCATGATTTCTAAAGAGCATTTGAAATCTGATAATGGAATGTATAATGCTCACAGGAGGACAATTAATTAGATGAAATTCTCATTTTCATTCTAATTACCTGTATAGGCATATTGAACCAGAGCCCACAGTGCATTTGGCTCCACACCTTCCATCTTGATTTCTTCCTGTCTTGCCTCCCTTACATCATTAGTGAACATTGCCGCAAAGTAGTCCGAAACAGAGGAGAGAACCAATCTGAGTACATCACACAGGAGAAAAAAGGAGACAAAGAGAGCAAAAGAAGAAAAACTTAGTCAACCTGATGTCTGTTAATTTATGATTCATTACTTTGCCCTTTGAAGAAACACTGTACTAAAAAAGCATTTTAAAATTGACAAACTGCTTCATGCTCTAGTTCCCCTCTATGAATAATGAACTACTGTTACTGAATCCACATTTTCTGCTGAAGTAAATGAATTCCCCTCTCAAAGCTCAATGACTTTTAATAGCCAACATTGAAACAACCCACAAAAACACAAATTGGAAATGGAATATAAATATACATCACAGAAAGAAAAAAACAACTGAATTTACTTCCATTTATATTACATTAGTTACTTTTTTAAATGTGAAAGAATAACTTATTCGTCCATTTCAAAGTGCTTTAAAATGCTTTTACTCTTGATGCACACACATGCATTCATTTACTAATACTGATAACAGGACTAGGCACAGTAAACATGGAGATGATAGAGTAATCTCTTTTGTGGGTATGTATTTAGCCTTTTGTTAACAATACTGAGTATTATAAGATATGAGTAAGTTAACGTGTTACTGCTCAACAGACATTTCTTTGGATTACTGAGAGTAAAACACTGAGTCTATATTACAATGACACTCCACAAAATGTGCGAAATTTTGATGTCTCAGTATGTGTTCACAGGACTGGGGTGAAAGAGAAAGGAACTCACATGGAATAGGAATACTCAACCCGTAGTTCTGTTGTATGAAACTTACCATATCTACTCCCTAAGAGACCTCCAGGAACAGCCCTGTGGTTTAGATGAATTTTTGTGCTGCAACAGTTCACTGTTGCCTTGCTCATGGGAAATTCAAATATAAATACACTTGCATACATACTGAGCTATACAAACGGCAAACCCAAGAAATAAGCCTACTGCAAATATACTACACAGTCCATCTGCATACATTCAATGAATCTGATACTTCAGGAAATGTCAGTTTATTCTGTGCTGAATCCTTAATGCTGGCTTGTTGACAGAGGTCAGGAACCAGAAAACAGAGTAAAATTAATTGAAAAGGTAAGCACCTGTGCTTAGGAGTAAGTCTAAACATGTATTGATGGGAAGCATTTGCAGGTACACACAAAAAGTCAGGAACTACAAAGAATTTTATCTTCGTTTATTAACTGCAAAGTGAAAAATTGTTGACTAATTTCAACTACTTTTTTACTGCTGATTTTGTGACCATTGACCATTCAGTCAGACCTACAAGCAGGGTAATTCTTTTTTTCTAGTTTCTGAGGCAACAGAGTTGTGTTAAGAACATACAGCAAAAAGATTAATTTCATCATCTTGCATGACTGAAGTTTTGCAATGAGAAATAAAGTTCTGTTCTTTCAAAGAATGAGATTTATTCTGTGGCTGGTTTACTGAGGAAAATGAGAACATTCTGCCAAGGTAGAGCAGCCAGGCATCACTTTTGGGCATTTTAACCACAGGTTTAATGGCACCTGGAGTTGAATGAAAATGCTGCCTCCTAGAGTTCTGCAGAAGCTTAATGAAATTAGAGAGTACATTCATGTAAGTATCAAGGGAGAGATTTTGCAACTGCTTTTGATGCTAGAATGAGATTACAAGATCAGATTTGTATGCACAAAATAGGAGTTCTTATTGGAAGGGAAAGTGTGTAGATGGACAGATTTGAATAGCCCAGGTATCTCTGCAGGTCCGATTCAGAATTTAAAAAAAATGGTAAGACAAACAAATTAAAATATTAACCTCTGACAATACTGGCTTGAACTTCTACACAAAATAAAGCTTGACAAATAAAGGTCTCTATGATGGGAAACAGAACCTAAAATGTAATCTTAGGGTTGTTTTTTTCTTACTTTTTTTTCCTTCCCCCAACAGTGCAACTGGTTTAGTTGGCTGCACTACTACTTAGAAAATGGCTGGACTGTACATGTCTTAGCAACACTTCCTGAAGAAATGCTAAGCAATAACGCGAGGCTCAAGACAGACACCTTTTACCAGCTGTTTGATATCACCAAATTTCTCCCTGTAATTTCCAGTCTCAAAAAGTCCAAAAGAAATTATTAAAATTTTAAAAAACAATCCATTTACTATCTTTTCAAACTTGTGCCAAGTTGTGCAATGGATTCATGAGAAGGTGTACATGCTTCACAGTGTTAAATGGTCTTCAGACTCACATATGTCAAAACAGAATGTGCAGCCCAGGAACATATTAATACAAGTCACATGCCAAAGCATAAATTACACTGTAACTATTTTGTAATAATTTTAGCCAAGAAACATGTTCACAATGAAAAAAATCTTAGAACAGGTATCCACACTTCTTTCTGAATTCAACCGAGTTCGAAAAAAAAAGTTCTTTCAAAGAAAGAAAGAGGATTAAAAGATGCAGTGACAATGCATCAAGGTGACACTGAGTTCGCACAAAAGAAAACAGAGGCAGACTTCCAGCCAACTGCCCTTTTCTTGTCCTATGTTTTTCCCATTAGTCAATAAAAATAAACTGCTACTTTACTTGTGCCATTTGACACCCACTTGTTCATTGATCTTTTAAACTCATAGCTAGTAACTGATTTTTCTTTCAACCTCTTTTGGGGGTGATTGTCTGAAACTAAACTGCATTCCTCCATACAGATTATACAACGTAAATCAACTAATGCCTTCATATAACTGAAGAATCCATGGAATATTTTGTCCATCCATATTTTTGCTTTCCTCTGAAAGAGCTAAGTGACAATTATGATTTTTCAAAAGACAAATCTGTGCAATGACTATAAAACCTACACCTAGATTCACAATCTCCTTGTTAAATACAGCCATCATGGCTCTGTTAGTATTTAACAAAGAGAAACATAAAATTAACATATTCATCCATATCAAGAGGTCCCTGGGACTACTGATGCTATGAAATACTGTCTTTCCTAAGTTTAAAAACTGAAGAAAGCAATCATTTTGGTATTCTGAGTTTGTAGTCTTTTTTCCTCCTAAGAGTAATATTTCTTTCATAATTGGCCCAACTAAAATGCCAATAAAATCAGTACATACTGACATTAGAGAGGCCTCTTAATCATACAAAAAAAAAATATCAAGAAAAAACTTTTAATACAGTTGGCATTGTATTGTTCAACTGTGGATAGTGAACATATTTTACCTTTACTCTCCTTTTTCTCTAGTTACCAGCTACTGCCAAATGCTCAATTCTGCACAGATAAAATTACAAGAATTTGGCTGCTGAATTATATGCAGTAGGTTGGCTTCTCTAGCTCAGTGCACAGGAAAAATATAGAGAAAAAGGAATACACGAATACCAGAAGTTTTCATCTGGGAGATCATAAGATGTCTGAACAATTAATCTCTCTGGAAAAACACTCAAAAGCTATGGACTAAATACTAACAAAATCAGGGTGTTTCAGTATATTTCCCTGTTCTTACAGGAGGTTCCAGTGCTACTGATATATTCAATTTCAATGGTTTGTACCGGTCCAAAAATAGAAAGATCCACCATGACAGCTTAACTTATTTTGAAGAATTTGCTACCAACAGCCAGTAAAATATGTGTAAGTAGGGTGGCACAGCTGAATTAAATTGTACTTCTTGGAATTGCCAAAAGCTGCATCATCTAGACAATTTTTTAGGTTTTCAAAGCAATTATTATGTAAAATGATGATAGCTGTCAAGCTTGGCAATTTACAGATGTAGTATCTCCCAACCTGATTCACCTGACAGAATGAAGTGAAGCTTCTTAATATCTTAAAGATAAAAAGGACACTTCCCAGGCAACTCCCTGTTTGTGACTGTGTAACAGCTGAAAATTGTCCTAGGGAACTCAACACCACACTAACTGCATCCACTGAAGCTGTCAGGTGATGCTGAACAGTTCATGTGTTCTAACACGAAGCATCTCATACACTGGTGGCTTCAGCTTGTTTCTATTCTTGATAACAAAGCGTGTCAGTAATAAAAAGAATATATGAAAGTGGTACTATCCCACACTACGAATATATCTGTATTTATTTAAATTAAATTTGTTTAAAGGCAAGCAATACCCGAACATACATGCAGTATGTTTATGTTTAAAATTATTTCCAATTATAGCCCTCTTTCAGGGAAATCAAACCTTTCAAAATTAATTTGCTGCTTCTGACACTGAAATGATGGCTACAATAAGTCCTTTAGTAAAATTTTTCAAAACCATCACTCTGTTAGTAGCAATAGCACCTTTTTAACATAAAGCTATCACAGAACTGCTTTTTTATATGTTTGACTTTTTAGAAAGATGCTGTGTGTTAAACTTTTATAAACATGTAGTTAAAACAGAAAAGAGGCTGCAGTGAAAAATTTACAAACTAAGGCAATACAGACTGTGAAAGAAAGGAAGTATTATTAAGCTATATGGAAATGTAGTACAAAGATAAATAAGCCTCAAGATAAAAAAAATTAAAAAATGTCTGCAAACCAGGATTTGGACACTTTCAAACAAGCTTCTTAACCCCTAGAGTACACAACTTCCATTTGCCTTCTTTCCTTCAGTCCTGTGTATTTCCATCTTTCAGTGTCCATAAGAAGAAAGAAAATGGCTCTGCACACATTTTCAGATTGCTAGTTAAAGGATGCAGAGCAGCCTTTAAATCCTCTCTGGCCACAAATTTACACAGATGTCCCTTTTCTTGAGTGAATGTTCTGACCAGCAGGTTATTAAAAAAACCCACTTTTATTATGGATATAGCAGTTTTCTGAATGTAATAAATAGAAACGTAATAAATGATGTAGACATCTGAAATTGTGGTGGACATAGAAAAAGCACCCGATTATGAAAAACTTAATTAATTTAATTTAATTTAAAGTCTAGGAAAATTTCTTTATGGAACTGAAGGCTGAGGGAGTGGGAATATAATGCATTTTTCCTTGTGGAGAACTGTCCTCTTTCCTACTTCCTTCTTTGTCTCCTAAATAGGTTCTTAGCTATCATTTCAGCACAGAATGAGAAGACAGACAGTCTTAAAATAACAGAGAATGCCAGACGAATGACTACACGTGATACTCTTGTTTGTCGTAGACCTGGTAGCCTGAATTCTTTGAATAGATACAACCCGAAACCATTAAGAATTTTATAGTAATATATTAACTGTGCTTATTACTATTGTGGACACCGAAGTTCCTGCTTGTTTCTCTAAAAACATACAACATACACCTCACAACATTCAAAATATCATCAAAAGTAGAAATTGAGAATTGAGAAAAAAAATTACAGGAACTATTAAAAATATCAGGTTCAAAACAAGGAATCTGAAGACTCCTCTCTATATATGAAAGTGTTTAATAATAATGAAAAATGTTCTTACCAATTCTATGTGACCACATATTAAGAAAAACTTTTTTATCTTTCTCAAGGAAAAAAAAAAGCTGTCCACCGTAAGTGAACTTTCCATTTTCTTACACATCCTAGAATTCCAAGTCATCAAGCTAATTTATATTTAATACATCTTTTGTTGCTTATTAAGTCTCAAGACAAAATAATCACGAGTGTTCTGAAATACACTGACTGCTCATGTCTACAGTCAATACTAAGGAATGAACGCAGGCAGTAAAAAATCCTACAGAATTTTTTTTCATATAAGATAGGCTACTATAAGTACATAAAGCCAGTCTTCTTAGTGAATTTCTATAAAACTCTGAACCAAATTTAAGATTTCTATCTTTATCTTCTCCACTATGGAAAAGCTCAATTTTCAGTGAGGTACTTTGGCTGCACTGAGATGAATACTGCAGTTATTGCTATGTGTCTCTGTAAAAACAAAACAGTAAGAGAAAGAACTTACTGTGCTATAAGCAAAGCTTTTTTCTACGTTGTTCCAACATTACAAAGTGAAGTAAGGACAATCGTAAGCATCCCACCTCCTGATACAAGCACAAGGTGTGCTTCTTTGGCCTTAACATTCATGCATATTTAAAACACAATATACCAACTACAGCAAGATGTTTCTCCTCCAAAGAAAAGGCTAGAGCAAATAACAGGTGGTAGCATATGCCTAACGCACTACAGAAATAAATACAGTAGCAGACACTGGAGGAGCAAAGTCAGTTCTCTAAATGGATTAGAAACAGGTATGAACCACATTAAAGATCATCTATAGCAAACAGAACATTGTCCTTCTGTTTATCTTGTTGCAAAAAAAAATAATCTTCCAGTCCTTACAAGATATTCGCAGATGTCCTCTGTACCCTTTCTAGACTTCTTAACTATTCCATAAACCATACTGCAGAACTGTATATTGCAAAGGTGCTACCTTGGCCACATATGGAAGTAAAATTATTTCCTTATTATAATCACTATTTTTCCTGTTTACAGCAGTCCAAAGCTATTTGACTTCTAAATTACTTCAGTTGGTGCAAATCCACTAGGGGTGTGTGCATTACCTGTTTTCATCAGATTCACTCTTTCTGCAGGGAGAATGAAGTTTTGCAACTCTCTAGACCGTTCTTAAGCAACACTGTAGCCACATGGAATGCCAAATCATCTTGCTCACCCCTTGCTTTCTCCAAAATGGATACACCATAATCTACAGCTAGGTGGCTAGAAGTGTTTACAAAGGAATTCAGGTCACGGGTTGAGCAGAGAGCAGGACCACTCATTTTAGCACTAACTGCAGTAAGATTTGCTTAAAACAACTTGGAAAAATCAGGGATAGTCTTGACTGTTTAAAAATGAAGTTTCATAACATGAAGTCTCTGACAGCAATAGCAAGTTATGGTATAATTGCCTCTCTGCTCCTTAAGTCAGCTCCCATCCACAAGCTATCATTCCCTCAGTTGTGTCAGCACAACAGTGCCGATGATATCTAGAAAAAAAAGCAGAAATCTGGCTTTTCAAGAAAAATACAGAGCCCAAACGAGCAACCTCTCCCCACATTTTTATTACTATTACAGTATTAAGCTGTAGTTTCTTCATGGGGGTAGGAATGAGCAATGGAAAACAGGAATGCTTTAGGCTGCTATTTCTGTTGTAGACCTAATCTTATGAAACCACAGCTTAATTATGCCTAGGTTCCTATTAATACTGTGCATTAAATATTGTAACATGCTTCAGCTATTCATACTTCTGTTTCACAATCTTTGGTAGTTTCTTAGCTTTTAAGTGGCATGCTATATAATCTGTTAATTGCACAGATGACAGATAGGGTCATGTTAGATCTGATTTAGCCCTCTAATGCTCATTGTCAGTGTTCAGTAGTCTACTATCAAAGGACTCTTCTTACCATAGGAGTAAAAAAAACTTTATGCGGATAGACAACTGCCCCTATTGCTAGTTATAACTCCAAAAATTTAACTGTTAGTACAAAGAAAAGATAAAGTCTAAGAAAATTTTTTACATCATTCTGTGGTACAGAAACCACTACTATTTATAATATTCCGAGGGTGCACTTGGGTCTTTTGGGGTTTTTATTTTGTTATGCAAATATCTTACTATATGCTTGAAGACAAAGTAGAACACGAAAATGTCACAATTTTTTTTAATGCTGTATCACATATAACAGACAAATTAACTTCTATTTTTCAAATAAATGTTAAAAACCATGGGCATGTTTAAAGTGTTCTAAATTATTTAGCATCTTCTGACCTTTTTCAAACCAAACACAGGGCACACTTTGAAGGTGCATTTGTAAAGAAATATGAAGTTATTTCAAATTATAATAAACTTACCTGTGAGCTGGAATTCTACGATCACCAGCAACTAACACCACATCACATAGCTGTTTGTGCCTAAGATAATTCTCCATCTTTTTAAAAGTTTGTTCAGCGTGGTTGAGAGCCTGAAAAAATTCATCTGAGGTACAGGGCTCCATAGTTTGACAAGATAAGGTATGGCTGCTGTTGGAGGTTCTGCTGAAAACAGTAACAGAAATCTTAGTTCACACAATATTAAGGTGCAGCAATTCTATCTACAGATGAAATAAAGATCACATGTGATTTTAAATTAGATGAACATGATTTGTTTTAATATATCTTCCCTTCCGATTTTAGTACTCCTCATAGTCATACTTTATCTTCCTCCAAACCTAATCTAAACTCTTGTGAAAAAGGTATGATCATGGCAACTAACAGATGCACAAAGATCAGTCCAGTAATGATACCTAAAACATTGTCAGATGGTTAAGGAAGATGGTCAGGAAAAACAGACATCTTCCAAGTCCCTGCACACTGAAAAAGCAATGGAAAGATGCAATAAGGAATCAAAGCTCTCCCTACCACATATGTTAGTCTTGCTTCACACTTTGCCTAAGGTGGTTAGAACAAAACGCAGCATATGTGGAACCAGTAAAAGAGTGTGGGCATGCAGGGGAAAGAAACTCAAGAAACCCATCAATATACCACCACTCCTACTACATGAAGCCTTATGTGTCCGAAATGAGATCTACCACAGTAGAAGACAACATGGGGGAAAAGCAAGGGTTGATGAGGAGAAAAATTATTCCTGTCTTTGCACACAGCAGCTTGTGAGAAAACAGGAACAGAGAAAACTTTAAAGGAATGCATGGACCTAGGACATAAATGTCCTATTAGATGAATTCTAATTATGTACATTAAGGGAAGCACCTTTCCTTGATTACAGTTCTTTCACTAACTACTATTTTTTCCACAATGCAGGCAACTTAGAAATACTCTGGACCAAACATAATATCTGGAAGGACATAGATTCACAAGATCTACATCCAGACCCCTGCTTTCACAAAGATGTCATGAACTCAGGCAGCATGCTCAGGGCTAAATCCAGCAAGAGATTTAGCTCAGTCCTTAGCCTAGGATATTAATTCCAAGACAGAGCTCCACAAAATCAAAGTCTACCTTTTCAGCAGAAAATGTTCTGTAAAGGTTGTGCCCCGATAGCCAAAGAGACCAAGTAATTTGGCATTCAAACCTAAAGTCTAGTAATGGATCAAAAATTAGACACTTGCCCACCTACTTCCCTTGAAGGACTATCTTAAATGCACTCTCTGAAGCTGTGGTTAACCACTTATTTAGGCTACGTCAACTACTGCTCCATGAGCCACTTTTTCTGCTTCACCACTGGCCCTCTGACAAGCTAGAACAAGTATTCTTTGTGGCCATGTGGGAAACTGAATCAAGGAACTCATATATGTGAAAAATGTAACCATAAAAAACATTATGTTGGCAAAACTGTGTGGCATTCTCACAGTGAACATGCAAGAAGCACTCAGAGAAAGCAACTCTTACACAAGCAACCCTGCAAAAGAAACAAGTGGAAAGAACAGGGTGCTGGTCAACAAGAAAATGCTTATTCCCTATCACAATTTATCACATCCTCAATTGTGTCGACACAAGTTGGGTTTGGTTTTTTTTTTTTGTTGAACCATATTTTAATTCAGATTCCTCAAATTAAGCCCATTAATAATGATTTAAAAAATTACACGATATAACATAGTTGGTTTACATGATAACCTCACAAAGAGTTGTGCAGATAGAACTGAAGAAGCAACAAACAAGTATGAAGAAGGAAAAAACTTCCTAAGTCAGCACTTTGCTGCGCTGCATCCTTGCTGGAGCTGTTGCCAGAATGTACACATGTGCAGCCTGGGGGCTGCACGGAATTCAGTGGCAGTCACCACTCAGTAAGGAAAAATAATTGCAGTGCTGTCTGTTTTCACTAGCCATGATAAAGCGCTAATTCAGGACACAATGGAGCAAGCTTAGCTCTTCCTCTCCTGAAGAAGTTCAACCCTATACCTGTCCTCTAGCCAGTAACTTACAAACCTTTTTCCATAAGGAAGGAAAAGGAGAAGGAAAGACTAAGCTTCAGTATTCCATAAAAAGACTATGAAAGAGACAGTCTTAATAGCTGAGCTAGTATCCAATGACCGGTTATGAAAAATTCAAATCTCACTCCTTCCCCAAACTGTTTTACAAATTTGTTGCCCAGTCCAGTTTGCCACAGCCATGACAGCTTGGAAGAATACACAAGCATGGAAAGAACAGAGGAAGGGAAAGCCCTGCTTTGCTCTTTGCCAGCAGTAGTACTGAAACACCTCCCAAAATTCTTGGCATTCATCCATCCCTTCCACCTAGAGAGAGGAAGCTTGGCTATCTGGCGCTGACCTGTGAATCCCATGCTCAGAGCAAACATCCAGCCCTGAGGTCCTGCAGCTCTGAGTATCAAGGCAGCTCTGCTCCTTTTGGATTTGGCTCTTGACTCAAATTTATCTTCAAGCACAGTATGAATTTTCCCTCCCATGAGCTAGAGGTACTGTTACTTCTGCACACCTCACACATACTACTAAGAAAGTTATATTAAAGACTGAGGCTGTCAGCCCACAAGATAAATGTATCAAAGAACCCTTTCTGCATATTCCTTTAAGATTAAGACTTAAGATAGTATTTTTAACACATGGAAATATTATTACAAGCATCTCAGAATGTTAGTCGGTAGGGTTTTCTCTTTGTATTCTTAAACTTCAATCATGCTTTTCTTGGTCTTTCTTTCCTTTCCCTATTTATGTCAAAAAGATCCTATCTAGCACTGACTACTTTTTATCAAGTATGATACAATTTCAACATGATTATAAAAATATAAGTTACTCTAAGGACAAGGTCTTTCCCACACTAGCTACATGTTTGTCACCAGGGTAGTAAAATGTATCATATGCTAAAAATGCTAGGTTTTTTCAAATCCTCTGTGTAATAAAGAACTTAGACAAGAGTACGCCTTTTGAAATCAAAATTATGTATAAGCCGTTTTATAAAACCATTAATTTTAAAAGGATTTTCTTTCTTGAAGCAGGATGTTTGCAGTAAGGACCTCTGCCCAGTGTAACAGTTCATTGCAAAGCAATAAAGCCATTAACTGGGCTAGCAAAGTCATGATAAAAGAGTTTCAAAAGTAAAAGCATATATGATGATGATGAGCAGAGAGCTGAATTCACACCTCTCCTCCTGCTGCTATTTCAGGCTTCATTGTTGTAGCTTCAACAAAGCCACAGCACAGCTTTCAATATAAAAACAAACCAAACGGTAACATATTCCTCCCACTTTTGCTAAACTCTCACTCTCAAGAAAGAGGCATCAGTGTTTTTCAAATTTTATGGGGGAGAAGCACAATCTGTTCCTACTAACAGGATTTGTTATTTTAATTACTTTAAAACACTGTGATTCATTTTAAAGGAGGACTTACAATAGTTATTTTATAGCAATCACACATATTAGTTACCAACCCATGAATTCCCATAAGGGTTGACCTTGGCTATAACAAAAGTTGCAAAAATGTTTTTTTCCAAGCATTTTATTTTATGCATTTGAAATTATTTTCAGGAAGGCATCTTTTAGGTTATATGCCTCCATGTTTGTCTTTGATTTTTTTTTTTTAGTCATAATGAAGTCTTTATTGCTTCATTTATATTTCAAAGACATGTTTCAAACTATTCATTTTGGAACAGAGACAGAGGAACAAATCCAAAATTTGAAATTATTTTTAAATTTTAAAAAAGTGTAAAATTTTACTGAAAAAATTATCTCTGAAAATTATGTGTATATTCACTCTTATTTAAAACTGTTCTGTTGTGACAATAAGTTCACCTAATTTAGCTGTAACCTCACCTGTACTTGTAAAAAAGGTCAGCTTTCCCACAAGATAATATGAAATTCCATGAATCTGCAAAAAATGTAGTTTTACTGCAAGATAAGAGTGATACAGTTAGATCAAGCGTATGTAGTACAGATGCTGACCTTGTATATAAGTACCACCTTGACTAATCTTTTGCAGCAAGTAACAGCCTACATCCTTGCATTAAAAAGTCACATTTCTTACGACAGAAGCAGCATACTGAAGTGCAGCTGGTTACTAGAGCCTTGACTGGACAAAGGACTCAGACAGCATTGCAATGGGATTTCTATCTGCAAAATCTTGAAGTAGAAAATACCCCAAATATACTGCTACTATGCCTACTCAACTGGCTGGATTCTGGTTCACAGAATCAACAAATAAAGTCTGTTTTTCAAAAGATTTCTATGCTCTATCTCCTTTCCCCACTCCATCCACCACTACAAGCCCAGCTCTTCTCCTTTCCTCTCAATTGCACAGGGCACTGCCTCACCAGGCAAGAGACAGTAACTGATGTAAGGGGAAGCTGTGCTGCACCACTGGCCTTGCAGCAGATGAATTCTGCCCTTTTCCAGTGACAGCAATAAGCTGAGTTTCTCTCCATTAACTGGCTGCCATTTGCGAGAAGCAACATTATTTTTGAGACTTCTGCCTGGTCTCATATTACCATGAAAACGGTCCATGAGTTTTAAAGCTATCAGGAAAATGGCAGAGGTGATGCAGAACACAACTGCATAAAGTTGGTCCCTTTAGGAAACCAAACTAAAAGCAAACTGCTACCTACGTGCTATCTACGCTGCTGAAATTTGCAGCGGCACTATACAACAACCCAAACAGCTTTATGCATACACTGAAAACAGTGTAAATGGGAACAGGAGCAAGAATAACTTGTGCACAGAATTTGCTTAAATTCTGGTTTACTTATGTTTCTCTAACACAAACTGTGTGTACATAAAAGCATTAAAAGTATTAAACACTGGCAAAGCTGCAGAGATGGGAAAAAGTAAGTCTTTCTCCTCACTACTATGTTTCCACCTTTGTTTCTCAGAAAATAAAGTAACTGCCATCTGAAGAATATTACCTTCATAAATATGACATGTAAACAGAAATATCAACAAACCAATAGAGATATTTCAACATATATAGATACTAAAAAGTATCATGACATTTCAAAGAAAAAAAATTAGTTTATTTTACACCTCAAGAAGGTTGAAAACAAGGTTCAACACAATGAGAGATGTTTATAGACACATAGACAGATGAAAATGATTAAGTGCAAGAAAATGGTGCGACTGCCTTATGTTTAGAGAAGACAATAAAAGGAAGAAAAATAATTCATAATACCTCTGACTATAAAGTACTATAAAATACATCAACCTACAAATAACATGAATGAAATCAACGTATTGTATGCAGAGACCAGAACACAACTGGCTACAATGATAATATGCTAGCTTCCATGTTTTTATATTATACTTTGCAAGGAGTAAAATATTTCCTTCTTCAAAGTTAGCAAGACAAGAACCTCAGCTGCAGAGAATGAAGTTCATTGAAAAGAAGGATGCTGAAAGGGTTCTTGGAAAAAAACTAAAAAAATCAGGATACTCTTCCTAAGGCTGGGAAGAGCATAAATAAAAGCAGGAACCATAGATGGTAACAATAAAGACTGCTAAACATTCATAGTGTATCATAATTTAAGATGAGAAAAGAAAGGAAAGAGTACAAAAGTGAATCTGGAGAGACTAAAGTGCACATAGGCTACACATGCATGTGAACTTGAGAGCAAGTGATTTACTCTACGATAGAGAAAAGCATTGTAACAATAGCCAGAAGTACAATCTTGCAACCAAAAGCCACAGGTTCAAGCAAACAGAAATATATCTGCATTACCCTTAAACTAACTGGCATGAATAACTACACACAGGCCAAGCTGGAGCTATGCTAGCCCAACAAAGACGTGTATACACAGCCTGCTGAGCCAATGCTGCTGCATCTTTACTTAGTTCTAATTTTGATAAGAAATAATGTAGGCATGTTATTACACACAAATGTCACCAGTAACATGCATTCTGTCTGGAAAACGTAACTATTTAGACTACCTCATGATACATCTACATTGCAGTGCGATCAAGTGCAACATACAAAAACATATCTGACCGAGCTTTAACGCAGTCAAAGCATGTGACACCTCACTGTGAAAATGTGACCGTCCTGCCTGGAAGCCCACTCGGTCCAAACAAACATCTGGATTCTCCTGTGGCTTTGCAAAGTTCATGCTGAAGCCTCTTGTTACTTTATCTTCATTGCAGTATCTACCGTTCGAGATTACTAGATTAAATCTGCCTCATATTTACTATATAATTCTGTTGCACTCTTTTCAGATGTGCATAGACCTACCTAACCCAAGTGAAGATGCAACAGGCATAGAGAAAATGAAATTATTTTAGCAGTAGCAGGGAAGAAAAGAAACAAGAAAGCTACAGATTTTCCCCTGTAAAACAGCTTCTCTTTCAACAATAAAGTTTCTTATTTTTCTCTAATTCATGCATATATCTAGCAAAAATTGCTCTTTTTATAGTTCTTCGGTTAATTTCAAGCATCATACTATACTATCATGCCACAATTACAGAATCTACCAACTGTTCTTATTTGACAGTTTGCATTATTTTGTGACAGGAGATGTACAGAAACACACAGCACGATTGGAAGTCCCAAAGAACTTACAGCCTCAAAGGCCAGTAAGACTGCAGTGAAAGAAAAGTTGTAATAAAGGCTTCTGCAGACTGAAAACTGTTGAGGGGAGCAGACTTAGAATGGAAGTTACAGTGTACTAACTCCAAGTCTGTTCACACAGAGCAACATTGTGAGTAGCTACGATCAGGTACATTCAGATCTTGTCTTAAAACCAATTACAGACATCTTACTAAACTGTTCAAGGTTAGGACACAACTGATGAATTCTGAAATACTGCCTGTATTTAACGTTCAAATATTAATATACCTTTTACATTATATTTGAATACATTTCCATACTTAAATCTACGGTAAAAGAATTCCAACATTTTAATGCATGCCTGCATGAAATGAACCAGACACAATACTGTGCATACTAGGTTTATTCTAGGTATTTTTAGCTTGATATCCACTGTGCCTTCAAAGTCTGTGGACTGCTGCTAAGGCATTCACAAAAACTTCACTACCACCACCCCCCCAAATCTGTTGCTCTTAGGCTTAAATTTGCCATACAAGAATCTGCACAGCTGTTGGAAAATTTTTAAAAGTGTACAAATCTAAAACCATGAGCACAGCCTCAGGAATGTAGGAGAGTTAACAAACAGCAGCAATAGAGGACATCTAGCAGACAAAAACCAGCAAAAGAATTCCAGCCTCACTGGCCCAGTAAACAATCATCCAAGCTACTGCTGCTTGCAAACACACCCAGGAGCATGGTATGAAGAGAGTTACAGCTGCCTGCTCTGATCTCTGAATTATCTGTTTGCATCTCAGATGCAGTCCTTGTCAAACATCTGGTACTAAACTTGGAATTTGCTTATCTCTTATGCCACCAAGCTCTATACTACTAACAGCTGAATTCTACAGCAGTCCTCCTATAGATGAACCACATAAGGTTCTAAAGCTTTCATAATGACAAAGACCTGATCTAAATGCTTTTCTACCCTGTTCTATATGACATGGTGAAGAGGAAGGATGGTTGATACACACAAAGCGGTAAAGCTCCTTCTGTCACTTCATGCTTTTAGGGCTTGTAACTGGGCAATAAGTCACAGGAGCAAGAAAGGTAGCTCCATAGCTTCTACAAAAAGTTTTTAAAACTTCTTTTTCATATACACAATTTATTTCTAATAGAGGTAACAGAGTTTTCATATGGAGAAAAAAGCCCTTTAAAAACTACATAGATGAATGTAGTTTTTTCCCCTCCTCAAGTCAATAGATAAGCTATATTTTAGCCTAATAAATTTCACAAGTCAACAGATAAGAAGCTGTATTTTAGACCAATTTAAAAAAGAACACTTAATTAAGTTCTTAACATCAGAAAAATTCAGCTGTTAGTCAGACTTATGTAGTTGTACCAACTCAAACTGAACTCAAAGTTTGCTTAAAATATTTATTTTAAAGCACGAAAGCAAAACACTAGCAAAGGTTACAAGAAAATAAAGGAATTAAAAACAACTCCAGATACTACAGATGATTAAGTATATAATTAAAAAGATACTTCAAATGTGCTAAGTTCAAATCCTATGTGCATTTCCTGTAGTATACAACTCTGCCTGCAAAATACAACCAAATTAAAAAAGCCTCCCAATGCTATACAGACTTTGTACACCCTCTAAATAAGAACCTGTAGTTCTACAAAGTTACAAATTAGTTTTGTCACATCTAAATTCTTCTACAATTAAATCTGTAGTAATTTCAGTCTACACATTTCTCTCAAAATTACATGTTTTTTTCTACACAGATTGCCTTGCTATGGTGAGCACATCCTATTTGGGGTAATGTACATAAAATTTACATCACAAGTAGATGTTGCTGAAATAGAAGGTGATGTTACACCTATATTATACATACTGTCCAGTGACACAGCTATTTAAAAATTCATACCTGAATATCACTTAAAATAGGAGCACTTCAGAGGTGCTATTTATAGCTATATAGTTGTTGCAGCACGGTAAGACTGCTGTTATAAAGCATCAGCATGCAGGATTTCCTTTCCCTGTAATTCTAGTACTTTTGCCATTCAAAGATAAAAGCAAATACACTGTGTTGACTCCTAAGTGTTTTTACCCTGCCTCTTTTCCTTGAATCTTTAAAGGTCACATAAACCATAAATAGTTAGTGTTTATATCGTGGACTACTTTACCCTTGCACTAAATGAAACCTCCTAGAGAACACAAAACACTAAAACCGCTATAACCAGACTAAACTGTCCTTAACAGGCTTTATTAAACAGTGTACCCTTTTAGACAGTCATACTTTCTGAAATGCCATATAATCACAAAGTTATCTTAAAAGCAAGAAAGCAAACATCATAAAATTTACTTGAAATGGGAAGCCAACTATTACGCATTACATGCACTATAAAATGGGAAAAATACTCCTAGTGAAGAATGGCTGACTTGTGCAGCGAAAGGAAATAAAATAAACTGATACTTACCAAGAAAGATTATTAACTTGCCTAATATACAACAACTGGTAAATACCTTTCATTTAAGAACAAATTTTACAGTTTCATCTTTAGTAACAATACGTAAGAGAAGAACACCAAAAGATCTTTATAGACGCAGTAGAACTATTTTTTTCCTAAGCTAGATACGCAGTTTAAGACACCTGTGACTACTTTAAAGCACAAATTTCTTGGCTTACAGTAGATGAAATATTTTTTCCTTCAAGTTGCACATGCACAAGAAAAATAATTTTAAAAAATGTTTTATAGTCTTAAGTTACAGTTTCATCTCTCTTACCTATAGAAACGTGGAAACATCAGGTAAGAATCATAGGAAGCTTACATTTTCATAGTTCTAATTCTCAGCATAACTAAACAATCAGTGTCACTTCAAAATAACTTAGAAATAATCCTGTAATTGATATTACCTTGTTCAGAGCAGCATGTACTTGGTACACTATTTAAAACATGAATGTGTCCACGTTCGCGCTTTATTTATCCAATGATTAAAGCTGCCTTTTAAGAAGGCCCTAGTAAACACACAGAATGCTGATTATAAATAATTTTCTGTTTCTGATGCACAGCTGCTGCTAGGTTTCTGAAGCATTTTATTCTAGATTAAAGACTAGCCTATATACGTGTATTGTATGTAAACAGTAAATGAAAAAACATTTTTCACAAGAGGAAAGTAATAATTAACCTGCATGAGCTGCTGTCCGATTTATTTTCTTCTTCACTTGCTCTACCATCTGTTTCTTTTCTGTCAAGCCAACATGCACCTCCACAATCTTCTGTTGAGAATTCAAATGCAGGGATTTCTGAGGTAGATGCCATTGGCCAAAGAGGCGAATTCTGAAAATCCTGTTGGCTGGACCTTCTGTAACCAACTGATGTTAAAGGTAGGTTACCTGAATCTAAAAACTTCGTGCCACCACTCGTTACATTTTGTCCTCTATTCCAGAAGTCTCCCTCGTGGCTTTCAATTGCAGAATTAGGGGCTGATGCCTGATGACCAAACCACCTCCATCTGATTTTTAAAATCTGCTTCACGTCAAACTCTTTACGAGAACCAGACATCCTTAGTGAAAGCCAGTGATCGTCTAGGCAACAGGGTAAGAAGCAGCATACATAAAAGAAGATTTGTGCACCCAACCAAGACAAGAGAAACACATGCTCTGTCTGTCTGTGGCAAGCAGATTTTCTACAGAAGGAAGGGAGAAAGCACTGCATTCACACAAAAAAAGGCTTCTTTAACGGTATGTCATTCAAATATAAACAAAAGGCAACAGAGGATGAAAAATCCTAAGAAAAAAAAGAGGTGAAACAATCACCACAATCAGGAAAAATGCTGATGGGTTCACCCTAAAAGCTTCAAGGCTGTTTCTGTTGCTCTCTCCTGACCATTAGCTTTCAAAAACACCAAACAGTATTCAGTAAAGCCCTTTCAAGAGCTGAATACCACCCCCATCCTTAAACCACAAATGACAGAGAAGTAGAATCTCTGCTTCTTATTCTGTTAACTCTTGCTACTACAGAGGGGAAAAAACTCATAAGAAGCAAATTAAATTCTTCCTGCACTGCTAAAGAATAAATTTACAGAAAAGATTTTAAGTCAATCCAAAGATAACTGATTATGCTGGGAAGAAACTGAACTGTAAATAATTCTTTTTCCCATTACAGGACATGCACAAACTTAAAAAGGACAATAACAGCCTGGAAGGCTCAAGGGACTAGTACTGGGTTATAAAGCCTTTCATCTTGATGTGCTTTGATTCATATCTAGGTCTGCAGTAACTGAAAATTTCTAGCTGAAATGAGCTAATGGTTTCCATTCACCTACGCATTACTAAAAGCGAAAGCAAGGAAAAGCTCACTGGTCACTATCAGAGACACCAGAAACGCCTCCTGCAAAAAAAGACAACAAAAGATGACTTCTCAAAAGGCTTCTTTCTCATCACATACGATCAGCTGTGCCAGTGAAAGAGATGCACACTTTTCAGACAGAATTCCCTCTAGATAGGTAATTTATGTAATGTATTAAAATATCCAACAAAAGTTTTCAGTTGCATGAGAAAGTCAAAAGGACAAAATACACAATGACCAATTTATACTTCCTACAATAAACAGCCTATTTCCTCTATGACATATGGAGCTAGTTAGGTACAAAATGCTGAGACTCACTCCAATCACATGCAAATAATAATAACTATTTTAGAACAACAAAGAGGCACTGGATTTTTATCAGTCCTTGCTAAACAGATCTGTTTTCAATCTTCACAGTTCAGTTAGCCTGTTCAACTCTCCAGGACACATATGCAACAAATTTATAAGAACTGCTTCTTTTCCACCTACAGTTTTCATCAAACAGTGAAAGTCACTATTTCTCACATGAACATTATGAGCTACAAAATATGTAATTAGGATACCTGCAGTGTTCTTTAAAACAAGTTACATAGTGCCCAATTTTACCATCCAAAAAACTCAATGCCAGGAATAAATAATGCTATTTTCTTAGGAACCACAATGCTGAAAGGGCTAGTTTTAACCTGGAAAGCTTACCCATCACTGCTCAGAACACAGACCTTTATGAAAGTGCTTCTCACAAACACTAGCAAAGCTCATTTCTACAGAAACAGCATTCCAGCTGTTCTCTACAAAGAGATGCTGCATTTCAGAACATGTACCTTTGCCAGCATCCTGGCCTACCAAAAGCTATGTACCGATGCATTTGCACCATGTCCAGAAAACAGCTGAAAATACTTGGAAGGTAAGATGATTGAATAGGCAAATATACGAAGTTGTTACCATCTTTGCTGCAGATTTCATTTAAACACAAACAGTTAAATATTTAAGAACAATATTGATCTAATATATCGGCATAAAAATTGTATGGCTTTTTAACCAAAATGATATGACATGCAGGCCCTACTCATCTTGCACACATACTGCTAATTGTCAAAAGCTTAACTGCAGTGTTCAAACATCATTTGTGTAACTGCAAACTGGGTGAAGCTACAGTACAGCTTCAGAAACACTAACAAAACGGGATCTTTTTATTTATGCTCTCCTTACATTTTGTGTTGGTGTCAGGTAGAGATGCAGGACGAGCGATTGGTTTATTTGTTAACATTCATCACAGTGATTCTATTTTAATTACTCACGTAGCTATTAAAATTAAGCTTTAAATAACTTTATTTCTGCTGGTATGTTAAATCCATTATACATAAGGACTGACCTCAATTCTCTTTCCTGTATGACAGATTCATTTAATATTAAAACGGTCCCAGTACAAGTCCACTAAGACAATGGCAGATTTGTTGTTTCCAGTGCTTTTTCATCACTTTCTCACAACTTACTGGGAAATACAGCCTAATTACTGCTTTTCTGACCTATGGGCTCAGAGATTAGAAAACAAAATGTGGTGTAGTTTTAAGAGACCAAACCACAAAACTGTTTCATACTTTACTGCATTTTTCTAGATTTTATAAACTCTCAGTCACCCCCAATATTACACCCCCAAATACAGGTCTAAGACAGACTGCAATGATATCTAAAGTATTTCTCTTTTTCATATAAATTAGATACAAGTTTATATTACAAATGACAAGATGAGACAAGTACCACTTACTTCTTCAGTTTAAATTGACAACATCGCTTGGAAATAATTAAGGGCCTCTTCGTGATCTGGACAATCTTTATTACTATTAATAATGTGATAGCTTTTATCAGGTCCCCTGCTGGGAGTTTACAGACTTTTGAGGAGATCTCGAATGAAGGGCTGTTAGGACTTCTACTTACTGGGACCACTCAGACGTCATCTTGGAGATCTTGTCTGGTGACTGATGCTTACAAATCCAAATGCCCACACCTGATCCATGGCCTCCCATCATATGACTTCCTAATGCACTAACACATTTCTGAGAAACGTGCTACAGAGCTAAACTGAATGGAACCATCTTAGTCAAACCCTGTATACACAGAGTTTAGTAAATGAAAAACTATTTCAGAATCCTTCTAAGGCAAAAGTTTTCATTTAATGAAAAAACAAGCGCACTTGTACCCATTTTTCTGACCTTTGTCACTGCTACAGCCGAACAATTATTTTCTATTTTGTGATGAATCATAACATCTTAAATATAGGTACACTGTTCTCTTTGGAGACATAATTCTGTTCACATTAATGAAGTTATATAAACTCACTGTGAAGACAATTTTGAGAACTCTGATTTTGACTGATCAGATGGATATTCCTAAGAGTGGAGCACCTGAGCATTTAAGTATGTAAGTTCTCTCGTATGAGCAGCTCCACAGAATAATAAATTCCTGCAGTTAACAGTGGGGAACAGTTTCCCAGATTCTGCCTTGTGAACAAAAGAAAAACATTTAAATGCACATTGTATGTTAAGTCTGCAACTGTGCAAACAGGTAACACCAAGAACATAGCATGACAGCTTTATAAATTGCTCATTCCAAAATCTTCAGATTAGTTTATCTCCACAGAGATACAAAAATATTTTACTAGTCAAAAACTTCATTACGCTGAAATTCTTTGATATTACATAAGTTTATTCATATAAGTGTCAAAGGACGATTGTAATCCAGCACAACTAGTTAAAATTTAGACAACAATTTTATTCCTAAGATACTTCTACTGCATATTTTGAGGGAAGATGCACTCTAAATATTAAGTATATCACTGGGAAATGTGCAAAAACAATTTAAATAATCAGGTCTAAGTGCTTTTCCCCATTATGACTTTACCTTTTCATTAGGAAGCCAGTTAGATTTTCAAATAAACAAATATCACAGAATCACAGAATCACAGAACGTTAGGGATTGGAAGGGACCTCAAAAGATCATCTAGTCCAATCCCCCTGCCGGAGCAGGAACGCCTAGATGAGGTTGCACAGGAAGGCGTCCAGGCGGGTTTTGAATGTCTCCAGAGAAGGAGACTCCACAACCTCTCTGGGCAGCCTGGTCCAGTGCTCTGTCACCCTCACTGAGAAGAAGTTTCTTCTCAAAGAAGAATGTTTGTGGAATACTTCTTTCAGGCACTTTCAAGGTTTGAATCTCAACACCACTTTTCACTATAACATTTTTCCTGTCACTGCTTTGTTTTGACTTCAAAAAACTATCACCACCCAACTTCAGGGCAACTCAGGTAATATATTTTCAGGGTATTTAGTCTGTCAAACGGATTTAAAATTAACGATTTTAAAATTGAAGATCTAGAGGCATAAAGTCTCAGCTAGTCCTTAGAAGATATTAATGATCCTTTTAAGTGCCAATTAAAAATGAAAATGTCAAATTAATTAAATAGTTTTTGTTCTGACTGCAAGAGTTGTTTCTTTCCTCAAAAAATACTGCTTAACAAAAGCATTAAATATAAAAAGATATATTTTAGACATAACTAGACTAAGATGTGATGAGGTAATACATTATTGTCAACGTTTAGAGATCCTAGATACGTGTTCTAAAGTGTAAGAAAGGTTCACTGACCACAAGATTTTCATCAGTTAATCAAATTCATGGTTACATCATCAGAAGGCATTCAAAACTTAACACTTGTTTAGAAGGGGCTTTTAAACTTTAAAAATATTAATTGGAGGCATTAAAATAACTGTTCAAAGAAAACTGCTACCGACAAACCCCAAACTGGAATTGTGCTTTATAACTATGCTTATGTTAAAGACATGTTAAATGTTTACTTCCTTTTTTCCTCCTTGTTCCTGTGTTCCAGCCCCAAATTACAGAAATAGCTCAACAAAGACTTCAAGAAGATAACTACGTTCATGCTCTGCGATTCTATAAAACAATAATCACTTCCTATCCCAAAGGTTTTATAAAGTGCACACACTTCAGATCCATGGTTATGTGAAAAGTCCCTTACAGCTACAACAGTATAGTTCATCCAGGAGAAAAAATCCACCCTACAGTTACTGACTGTATGTACTTAAATTAATTGTTCTGACTGGCAGAAATGAGCTGCAGTCAAATTACTGGCACTGCATGGCAACTTTCTGCCACTTTGCATTGCACATTTCCCTTGAGAGGTGCAAGCCATATGTTTAGAAACACTGACTTTAGAGCACTTAGCTCA